TTTTTTTTTTTTTAATCGAAGAGATCTATAAGTAGACTGAGAATTAGACAGAGGGTTTATTTCACCTGTTATGTGGATTTCTATGAATTTACGATAAGCAAAAATATAGAAAATATTTAAGCTAAGGTGTCATGAGAATGTTTTAACCTGTAATTATTATGGCACAGTTATTAACGTAATATATTATATTTAAAAATATAATTAAAAGTGACAGAAAAGATAGAAAAATAATCGATAATTCGTTACAGGTGAATAATTTATTATCGTCGTATTATCTACGACACGAAAACTTGTTGCATTGATTTCTCTTCTCTTCTCTTCCCTGCCAAGCAGTTCTTTCGCTTCTCCCTTTCCGCGTCCCATGAATTCACTCAAATTCTTCGCATTGTTGGAAGATGGATCGCGAGATGGATCGCGCTCACGGTGACGCAACGAGGGATGAGATTGAGAGAAGTGAAATTGTTTCAGGGTGGCTCGTGCGAGTCGTTGTCGTCGAAAGGCGGAGCTCTAACCGGAAGTGACTCCGGGGTGCTCGAGCTGAGCGACAGCGGCGGAGGAGGCCCTCCAGGGGAATGGGACGCGGTTCCCGGCATAGTCAGACAATGTATCAGGCATCTAGAAAATACGGGGCTTCGGACGCTCGGTGTGTTCCGGGTGTCGCCTTCCAAGAAGAGAGTCAGACAGGTGAATGCTCCACGACTTGCTTCATAGATATTCATATTTTCATGCTCATTTTAATGCATTACTCCTCGAAGTTTCGATGATGAAGCCATGAAGTATCAAAGTCATTTATAATGGCAGAATAATTGTGTAATTACGAGATTAATGTAATGTTTAAATTTCTGCGATCGTAAGATTGTGCGAAAATCCGCGTTACGTGGAGAAACATTTTCTTTTCCAGTTGCGAGAAGACTTTGATTGCGGTCGCGAGACAAAGATCGGACCCGATCAGTGTCCTCACGACGTAGCGGCCCTCATCAAGGAGTATTTTCGAGATCTTCCGGACCCTTTGCTCTGCAGAGATCTCTACCAAGCCTTCGTCCATACACAAAGTAAGAGAACAAACACGTTTTCGAGTCATTTTCCTTCGAAGAAAGGAAAGATACGAGGATATGCGCGAAAGATAAATTTCATAAATTTTTTTTTACCTTCGTAAATGAGCTTCTTTCGTACCTGGACCTTCGTACTCACTTTCATAAACGAATCTTTTATTCGATAAAACCTTCAGATGAAATATCACGCAAGTTAATAATCAATCTTTTCAAGCTTGAAAATAATTTTTCGAACAAAACCTTCACTATTGAAGATCGAACGTATACTCCAACGTGTCCAAATGTTATAAATA